ACTTTTGAAGTGAAGACTCCTTTTGGCACTTTTGCGCGGCAGCCGGAGTGCGATTATTTTTTCCGAATGTCCAAATGATGGTCATACTCAAAGCCTGCATGGTACTTGCATACTGGAGGTTGGTCGTCACCTTGCTTGGAGAATCTTGGAGATATGGATGACTACGCTGTATGTATGCGCTGTCTGGTTGCAAGGTGTCTGATTTATGTCACCCTTGACTCTTTGTGTCAACTGTGCCTCTACCTGGCAGAACGTGTATGAAGCCTTGCAAAGGGTGTATGTTCCATGCCAGAAGGAAATGGATCACACAGGCGCGCAAACGACACCCACTGACAATACGACGTCAACATGTTTACGTGTAATTATTCATAGCTTGTTGATACTGCTAGTATAGTTTGTGCTTCATGTACTGCCATTCGTTTTTTCCTGACTTGCCTACTTTACCCTCTGAGATTAGAACTGTCACTCTTCAAATCACAAGCAGCATCTCAAGGCAAGAAAGCTCCGCACGCTGTCAGAGTACTCTTTTCGCATCATCCAACCAAAGTTGCAAGTGGCCACACTTGGGTGGTTTTTCTTTCAACAACAACCGTTTGTTATTCGCAGTGGTGGGCAAAAAAGGGTGTCCTATTAGCATCTCACCTAGAAAAACATAGAAAACAAAAAACACCAAGAACCGGCCAAATTGTTACAGAATGGAGAGATCGCTCTGGCTTGCGGATCTGGCTTTCAATCCGCGCCTCTACTTCTTCCGGCTTTCGGGCAGTGATCACCTCACATGTTTGAGTTGCAGCCGCTTCCAGGAGCAGTACTAGGATATCTATAGTGGATTGAGAGTAGATGGCACAAAGGTGGTTTGCACGAAACCCCATGTAAAGGACATCTTGAGGTCAGCGCCATCTACTCTGAAACAACTGTATATTCTATGTATATATGTTTGCGCCATCTACTCTGAAACCACTGTATATCTAATCATTATATTATATATAGAATACCTGAGATATGTGTACATTTACATTAACAAAAGGAAGGATTGGACGTATAAGAGTTATTAAGAGCAATTTTGCAATGACTTTGGCCCGGCAATTGCTTAAGACATTTAAGAACTGTACCTGTTTGTTCATGGTGCCTCTTGAATGATCAACAATCACCTGAGCCGTGTCAACATGGATGGTCTCAAGTCTGAAGTGGTCAAAAAAACAACATATGCCAAGGCAAGGATCTACTTCAGCACCCAGGGCCAACATCTCAGCTGCGCAAGCACGTCCAAGGCCTTTTGTAGAACCTGGGCAAAGGAAAAAAGAACATGAGATCCTTGTAAACAAGTTTCCCTGCAGGCCTGCAGCAATCCAACAATGACTGCGGCTTGCACTTGTTGATTCCAACCCTGTGAACCAATTGTTTTATATATGCGCCACCCCATGAACCCTGCAATACTTCTTGAATTTCAACCCTCCCCCTATATCGAAGTGACTCTCGGTGGATCCGGCACGACCCGACTCTCGGTGTGGCCCATCTCCGCCAATCTCGGTGTGGCCAACCACGGTCGACGCCAGCATTCAATTCGGTCACCCTCCATGGGGTCGGACCCTCCGGACCTCAGCCAAACCCTAATGTAGACTCTTGAGGACCATAAACTCCCCATATGAAGAGGATTGTCCGTTTCAATTGGGTGCTTCATTAATCAAGAGTCTACATTATCTCTTTCAGTGTTGTTTTTTTTGTCAGTTGGTCGTTGCCTGGTGGTTCTGAAGTGCCCCTGACGGGTGAGTGTCCTAATGACCAGCCCTCGGATAACTGCCTGGACCAGGCTCTATGACCAGGCTCTGGAGAATGCCTTCACCTTCGTTTCCCCACCCAAAAAAGGTCGCCCAACCGTGCCAGCCCCCAACTGTGCAAAGCTCCGGCCTGTCACGACAGCTTTGAAGCCTTCCAAGGACCATCGAGCCGACATGGTGCACCGTCTGCACCGGGAAGTCTGTGAGGCAGTCTGAATTCTGAATCACTTTGTGTCATGGAAGTCGACTTCTTGTGCAGTGGAGGTCGTTGGATGCTGCAAGAGAAGTACGTGTTTGCTGTTCACAATGAAATGTGAGTTCATAACATATTGAGTTCTCCCAGTCGTTTTCTTTGTTTTTTGCCTTTCAACCGACCAATGGGGGGCCGGCTCTGTAACACAACTTGCCAAGGTCAGAGATCCTGACAGTCCAGAAGGACTGGGTCAAATATCAACCTGTTCTGTGATCGGTCCAATACCAACGACTGGTAAAATCCAGTCCGGGAGTTCGTTCACTCAAGAGGCTTTTGCTCTGGAGCCACAATGCATGCCTTCGCCGTCGTCGTCCTTTGCGTGAACGCACATGGAAGGAAAACAGAGCCTATGGAACCTTCAAAGCAATGTTCTCACAAATATCAGGCTGAGAATATCAGTAAAATATATGGGTGTTGATCTAAACTTATTTATCGGGGATCCGTCATGTTTAGCCAACAAAAATAATTTAGCCAAGTGTTTGCCTTCCTGCGTTTTATCTGCCGCCGAAGTATGTTGTATCTATGTTTGCAATGCATGTTGCATGATGGATATCATTGTTTCATGTCAATGGCTTCTTCTTTGCTGGCAGATACAAAATAAACTTTCACTGTTTGTCAGAATGTGTCTTCTCCTTAACTGTTGACACCCTGTACGTCTCTTTGCAAGAATCACTGTAGTAGCCGGTCGCTCAGACTTACTCATAATGGGCTGGGGGTCAGATGTGGCAGGGTGAACTTTCGCCAATCTTGAGCCGAACTTTCGCCAAACTTTCGCCTTTTGTTTGTGGCAGAGCCACCCCCCCAAAGCAGGAGTAGTAGCAGTAGAAGCAGTAGCAGTAGCAGTAGTCGTAGTAGTACTAGTAGTCGTCGTCGTCGTCCTCGTCGTCGTCGTCGTAGTGGTAGTAGTGGTAGTAGTAGTATATAGTAATAGTAGTAGTAGTAGTAGTAGTAGTAGGAGCAGCAGCAGCAGTAGTAGTAGCAGCAGCAGTAGCAGTAGCAGTAGCAGTCGCAGCAGCAGCAGCCGCAGCAGCAGCAGCAGCAGGCGCAGGAGCAGGAGCAGGAGCAGTAGCAGTAGCAGTACCAGTGGCAGTAGTAGTAGTAGTAGTAGTAGTAGTAGCAGGAGAAGTAGTAGTAGTAGTAGTAGTAGTAGTAGTTAGTAGTAGTATTATGTAGTATGTAGTATGTGCTATGTAGTATTATGTAGTA